TGGTGGCAATGCCATGGCTCAGGCAAGTTTGAGGTCATCTCTAGTCTTACTTTTGGCTTATGGTTGGCTAGTCAATACTCGTGTAACGGCCTGGCAGAAATAGGATGGTTATAATGATGTCTTTACAGAGTGCCTTTCCTTTAGAATTTTTTTTTTTTTTAAGATTAAAGCACTAATGACATTATGAACTACATGCATTTCTTCCTGCTACTGAAACAGTTGTGCTTTAATGACCGTGGTAAAAGCGCATAGCTGTGTCATCTCCGGTGGAAGAAGCGGTTGCTTGAGGTAGACCAATAAATGCATCATTATGTGGGCAAAGATAGTTGTGGTTAATATTCCTGCCTGGATTTGAACTTGAAAAAAACCTGTAAAATAATTTTAATTACAAGATTTTACAAGATCGTATGTGAGAGAGGGCAAGCTCTGCATCTGCACAGCACTCGAGTTCATTTGAACTTGAAAAAAAACTGTAAAAGAATTTTAATTACAAGATTTTACAAGATCGTATGTGAGAGAGGGCAAGCTCTGCATCTGCACAGCACTCGAGTTCAGGCACTGCCTGCAGGGGCCGCTTCAGAAACAGACCACGAGCATTAAGAGTCTGTAAATGCTACAGTTTGAATCAGAGGCCACCCCCTTCCCACCCCCTCACCAGGGAAGTGCCAGATGAGTCATTAAAAAAAGTTTAAGTGCCAGCCCACAGCTTAATCCTTTTTCAGTTGAGACAAACTGAAGCTAAAGGGTGTTTCTCCTGCAGCAATCACAGAGAGATCCCCACCGGTGCCGATGTGGCCAGTTGGGGTACCAGTTCATAGGCCAAGAGACTAGTTCCTGGCCCTCTTATTTACCAATATAGACAGAGCACGTGCAACTCTTACTGGTCTTCTAGATCCCTTGCTTTTACTGAACTGAGCAAAAAGCTCTCACACAAGAGAACTGTGTTCACCACTAACGCAAATGATACCTAGAAGTTTTGAAGTGATGTACTGGAACATTCAAAAGATCTCTTGTCATCTCCAGACAGCCAAACTGAGAAATGCTCTCAAGACCAGTGCAAGGCTCCTAAGCTTTCCTTCCAACTGCAAGAGAAAAAATACTAACTAGTTAAAAGTAGGAGGCTTAAAAAATAATTGAAAAAAAAGCTGATGTTTCTCAGTTGCTCTCCATATGTAACTGAGGTAAGCACTGTGCAGAATCATTGAATGCTAAAGGGCGGGGTGTCGTATTCTGAGACGGTATGAGGAGTGCATATCTTCAACACACTTAGGTGACAACAGCTGTCAGCTATACAATTTTTTTAAATAAAATTAATTTTCTTTAATGAAACATACACCCTTCATCAAAATAAAGCAGAACATGTCCTTTGAAAAAAGTTGCACAATAAACTAGTTTCTCTGAATTCACAAAGCGTTAAGATTTCTTCATGCTCTCTAGCATTCGCTCTTCTCACCAGAACACTCAGCCTCCTGCCCTGTTTCCTCCTTACTCTTTTGTTGCAGCACAATAAACTCAGTTTTTGACATCTGCAGTCAATCGTAACTCATATGCTTCATCTTACACAAAAGCAAAAGTTGAGCTTTCTTTGAAACAAAAAGAATCAAAGCTTACAGAAAACTCCACAAATCAATTAAAATGCTGTGATGATTACACCTCTATCAACTACTTTGTGTATGTATATAGTTGCATTGAATTTCTGAAATGTAAGTATTCAAACTCTCCATTCAGAGAACAGAGCGACCATCTTAATGATAGACAATTATCTGGCTTTATTTTGTACAAAAAAAAAAGATGCTGCAAAATACAAAAAGACCTTCCTTCCCAAAACTGTGAATGAAAGCATTTGGGAAAAATGGAAATTAATCGTTCCACTTCTATCTAACCTATTGCCATATGAAATTGTCTTTTTCCCGTAGATCACGCTAGTATATACATTACTAGAAATGTACATACTAGTCTGAAAAGAACAGAAATTACAGCATGTTATTTTTAACGTTTCTCCATACCTCAAATGGAAGCAGTCTTGGCAGCTGTCATCTTCTTTGAGCTCTCACATCACTGATAACAGAAGAAGGACCTACTTCAAGTGACCACTTTTCCATCAGTCCCTAGGCTTAGAAAGGTTACGGTCGTGTGGAAATGTCCACATGTGGGCGGTTCCCCCCTGTAATTGTTCTCAAATATGGAAAGAGCACGAGAGTACAAATAAACACCTGTTCAATTACCAGCCACAGTTTTTTTATTCCCCATCGGTTCTTACATCACTGCTATGGTTATGTACCATGAAGGAAGGCAGCTCCAGAACTGCAGGTGGAAGCCAAGGATTTTAGGGAATCTATCATGAAACACAGTATTAATGCTTACGTTGTCATAATAAACTGTATTATATCTAGACCTATTATACCTAGACGTGGAAAGCGAGGTGGTTAAAAACAAAGCCTTAGGATGATGTGAGCTCATTTCTCTACTTTTACAAAACAAAGTTAAAGTTGAGATAACTGTATTTGTCACGTTTTTCACGCACTCTTTGTCAGGCACTTTTCAGAGTGGAAAAGTAGAAACTTAATACATCATGATGGCAAAACTATAGGACAGAACTATCATTTATAGGTTATCACCAAGAGTCTCACAGGAACTGGAAAACGTACATATTCTGTTTGAGGGAGACACACAGAACAGAAGAGATTCAGTATTGTTAAGCCACATGAATTCTCATGGTCTTGCAGAATATTCTAAGGCAGTTTGATCATCATCAATAGTCAGTACTGGCTGTTGTGAACTCAGAATAGTTAATTAAAACGGGTGATGCAAACTGCATGGTAGAACTAGGAGAAAACAAATAATGGAGATTTGCTTTCACATAAATCAAGGAAAGAGGACATGACTAAGTCCATGAAGGAACTCCTGGAGAAGTAGCTGACCTGTTCTCTGCAGCCTGAGCAATATGCGAAACCAATTTCCAGGAGATGCTTCATGTTTTTCAAGAACCGGAGAAAAGCCTCACAATGAGCACAGTGGCCAGTATCTATGATTGCTTGTAAAATAGCTCCCGTTTGGGATGGTCTGGCTTTATATTGTGATGCTAGTGGCTTTCTTCACCTCTTAACTATGGGTGAAACAAAGGTCCACTTGGTACTGTTACTAATAGATTTTAACATTTATAAAACTTTGACAAAAAAAGCAGTATAAAAATAGTTTGTCCTTACACAATTGTTCCATGAGGTAAAGTGGTATGGGCAGCCACGTTTGGCACCCACACAAAGGCATTTATGGGCTGTTTGGTTCATTCCCTTCACCTAACTGGAAACCAGGGTGCAAGCTGAAGTGCTGCTGCTATTTACCCTGGTGGGCACAAACATGTTCCGCTTCGAATCGTCGCTTATTTGCAGTGTAACTGCAGCTGGTAATGTTGCCAGTCACGCATTTCAGCACAACACGCAATTTTGCTTGTAACTATCTGAGAGGAGACATCGAGGGCAGCATTCCAACAGGTTTAGAATGCAGCCCGCTGCTGAGGGGCTTTCACAGACCCCCCAGCTCCTCTTCCCAGGTGTTGCCAGCTCAAACACACCCCAATGGTTACAGAAGAACACTTACTGCCTGCGCAAGGAATGTTAACCCAGGGTGAACTTGTGTAAATTGCTTAAGACTCAGACTGGACTTTCAGATACTTATGTATCTCTATTGATCCTCACATTACAATACTGCTATTTACATTTGAACTGTGTATCTGAGGGGAAGCCATCCTGAATAATTGTCCTAATTATAGTTAAAAATTAAAGGCATTCAAATATTTTTTAGTCACAGAGAGATTTCACAATAATATATATTTCTAGAAAAAGATTTGCGAAATGCTAGTTATATCACTTAATAGCCTCTATTGCAAAATACAGTGGTGCTCAAGAAATTTGGGGATTCTAAACCAAACCATTTTGGATTTGGCAAGAGATGAGGTAACATCAAGAAGTAACAAAGTCCACAGATACGTGATTCTTGATGTAAATTTTCTAGCATAACATTAGACCTGATTATGTATGAACTTTGGCTTAATTGTACACTAAGTTCCATGATGTGGCATTGGAGTGTCAAACAAGACCCGGGACTCAAAGACTAGCTTCACTCTGTTACTCGAAGGACTTCTGTGTAAGAGCTTCAGCTGAATTTTAAATACTTTCCTTGCAAGACTTCTGTTGGTGCCTTACAGCATCAGATGGCTGGACACAAAAGGTATATTGACCTGACTACATACCTAATAAGATACTTCCAGTAAAGTCCTTTTCCATGTCCAACCAGTGAAAATTTCCTGAGACATCATATACCTGCGACAACAATCTTTTTACTACTATCAGAAGATACACTTTCAAAGAGCACTGACCCAGGTTTGATAAGCATCTGACACCAGCAAAGACACCAAAATTTATTTCTAGGCAAGTCACTTTCAAGACAGACATCTTTGGTCACTATTTAATTATCTCTGTTGGCAGTTTAATGGGACAAAACAAGGTCAAAAAGAGAAAAAGTGGCAACGTCAAAGTGTAAGATGATCGTCGCTCTACAAAAGTCTTCAGAACTTTCATGTCTTCAGAACAGAATTATATGTGAACAGTGTCTAACAGTAAGGAGAACATTTATCAAAATACCGTATGATTAAAACTAGCTTAGATGGATTTTAAATTGACCAGCCATTAAAAGTTATTGAGATCAGCCATGAATTATGAGAGGTTAAACGTGATGGTTTGGCAGAACTTAAATACTGGGAGTCAGATTAATGTGCAGCTGAATATGAAGCACAGAGTTATAAATGCCAATATAACTGGCTGATGCAGCCATACACAGCGGTCCATTTATAAAGTTGGTCAAGACCTCGTCCTGCCTAGCAGAGTAGCTGATTCCAGTCCACAAAGTGTAAGGGAGAAAAGCTCCTGTGGCTTGATCCATTAATCCTATCTGAAGGCCTGAGCTTTAACTTTGATCATTTTTCTTGGGCGTTCGAATTTCTCTCAGGATGAACAGCTTACTTTAAGATCCTTGGCCCAGGCTGGGGGGCGCAGGGAGTAACCTGCTTTCTCTGCAGCCTGTTGCTTCTGGAAGGGATGTTGTAAAATCTGCTGAAGGAGACGAACCTGGAAGTAATTAAAATGAGTAATTTTTTACAAAAGATGTTTTCCTACAAACAAGAAAAGTCTCTGCCGCTTGGGTTGCTTACTATTCATACAGTCACTACTACTAATGTTGTAATGAGTATTATAAATAGTTCTGCAAACATTTTTAAGAGTAATTCGTATTAACATCGTACATCACACAACATCGGTCAAAGTATAACATAGGTTCAAAGTGTAAATGCAACAACTCTTTCATTAACAATTATTCCAATTATTAATAAATATGTCAAGAAAGAAATAAATCATTTTACCTCTGAGAAATCATTCAGATTAGCTTTTTGCACTGCTGATTCTGCCATCCAATTCCTAAGTATATATCTAGGATTAACAGCTGAAACAAAAAATAAATTGTGTTAAATTTAGACATATTCAACAAAAGCAAAATATAGTAATTGAAACGTGTCATTGAATCTTCAAGAAGGTTTAATTAGCAGATCAAGACAAAAATGCATGAAAAGGAAAAAGAATGAATCAATATTTATTTTTATGAGCTGCTAAAAGGATTTTTTAAAAAATTTGCATAATCAGTAATACCAAAGTGCCAAAGAAAAATTAGAACAGTATAGAACATTACACAGATACACAAAGGACTCTGTGTTCTGAACGCCAGCACTTCTCAAATGTGATTAGTTTACCGTGGCCTACGTTCCTGCTACATTGTTGGAAGGTCTATTTCAACGTTGTCAATACATTCCTTGAGATCACAAAAATTAATTTAATGTAAAAAGGAATTACTGAGTTAAAATATATGTACTTGATATTCCTTCTTCTATACCATATATCAGAAGTTTGTCCATAAAAGCCGTTAGTGTTGGAATTTCAGCTGTGCTTTTTAGAGACTACTTTTTCAATTTTGTCATTCCTTTCAGTTTCCTGGGATGTGAGGATCTACAGTTCTTTCTACAACTATCTGCTGTATCTTCTTGGAAACACCCACAGCAGCTGTGCTGCTTCTCTGGCATATTCCAGGCTGATTACGTCTAATCAGAGGTCAGGAGATTGTAGGGACGCTGAAAATGAAACTGCTGAGTTAGTAACCCAGGCTGCATTTTACAGAACAGCAACTAGCATTTTACAGAACAGCAACTAACAACTCATAAAAGGAATTCTCTCAAACTGTATGCCAAGGACAATTCTCATAAGCACACGTCTTTTATTACAATTTTTTTTAGCACATGATGTCAACAAAACTCTTATTTTTTGCTCTGCAATTAAAGCTCGGGATTCTGCTTCAGAAAGGTTTCCCTTAATTAATGATTAAAACAGTGTTACAGATTAATTGTAACAAACATTTCAAGCTTTCATTGTAAGTATTAATTTGACATTGTTCTTCATATTTTCCCAGAATTCCCAGCCTGAAGAGATTAATCAGTGCTACCAGAGGCATTAGCAAGTATGGACTTGAAATCAAAATCCTGTCATTTATGGACATACACAAACTTCATCTTTTCCTTCCCTTTCCATTGATGTCCCTTCCCTCTACTCATTTCCCCTAATCAGCTAGTTATGATGCTTTTTTTATGTCCAAATAATAGATTATATTAGGAGGGGGATGATCAGAAACAATATTTTGGATAAAAGGATTAAACTTAATCTATTTCCATTTCCCAATTCACTCTGTTCTTGCATGTCCCTGTACTGCTGCTTCAGCTTGCAACCATAACTGACTACCAAGACAATTCCTGTCTTTGAGAAAAGCTACAACTGGCTCCTTCTAAGCTTCTGCCATCAGACAATTGCAGGACTTTTTTCATATTTAATAGCTCCCTGTACAGAATCAGTGCTCAGTGCAGTGAACAGGCTTCTCTGTAATAAGCATTGCTTCCAAAAAACCATTTAACCAACAGACAAACTAGAATTTACTGAAGCTATGTAATCAGTGAAACGCTTGCATGATTATTTTATGTATCACAATACAATTAAATTCTTTGTTTGGAACTGAATGATTGTTATTTTAAGCCACAAGATTTGACATGCAGCAGCCTACCACAAAGGGTTTCAAAAAGTAAAGGATCGAGAAATCCCCCTCTGTTCTAAATGCTGAGCACAGGCCACTCACGTTCCTGCCAGAAGAGAGAAGGGGAAGCTCTTTCCCAAAATCAGAACATGGGCTGAAACCAGAAGCATCCTGGGTAGCTCCTGCAACCTTTTATCCCTCCTTTATAAAAAATGTACAGGTAAGAGAACAACCAGCACAGTGTCCAGGTGCTGACTTCCAGGAGAAGGAAGACTGAGATGCAATCCATCCAGCTGCAGGTGTTGTTCACCTTCGCGCTGTTCTGTATGTGCCTACGTGTACTAAACAAAAGCCAGTAAAGACACCTGGCTATTTGGAACCCTGATAACCATCACATAGTCATAACAACACCCTGCCCTAACTGCCAACAAAAATATCATTTTTCCCACAAAGCACAGTAATTTTCTCTGGCCAAGTATTTGATTTCATCCAGTAAATGGGTTTTCAATAGTAAAGTGTGATAATAATAAAAAAATGAATATTTTAAAGGTGAAGAAGTTAACATATGATTCATGTGAAAAAAAAATTAAAATTCACATTAAAGCCATGACTCATCTTAACAGGAGAATATTTGTCCCAGAAACATGTTCTTAACAATTGCAAATTGACAAGTTTCACTGTGGTGTTAAAAGTATCTGTAATTAACACAAGTGACAGGATAATTATGAGAGAATAAGGCAAGCTAGATAAGAAAGGGACAAAGCAGAAGAAATGTTGTGCCCCTATGAGCATTTTATGATCTGGACTAAAATTACTGGGTTTTTTACATGTCTCCTTTGTAAAGAAGTAAATGATAGACTTGTATAGAGATGGATTGTCAAAACTTTTTGATCGACTCCTAAGGAACTATGTTTAGGCAGTACAAGATAAAGGGCTACTAAGGACTGAAAAATAAACGAAGACAAAAAAGAAATGAAGATAATGAATAAGTGATCAACTTGAAATGCTTCAAGGTAATGTACTTTGGGACGTAAGATATTTTACTAGACTTACTAATGGTGAGGGAAAGGTCATGAATAATAAGGTGATGATGGCAATATATTCAAGGTCAGTCAATACTAAAGACAGCAATAGGAAATTTAGAGGGACTTACCAACCCATATAAAAATCTAGAGAGCCCTGACAGTTTTCTCTTTAACATGAAATGCTGGGTAAAAATGCACAGGTCACTGAATTGAGCCAGATTTGTGCTGCAAGTTGAACTGACAAGGGACAGTTGTTACAAGCAAATACTTTAAAAAAGACATAAACGATTTTAAGAGATCACAAGAGGCATTTAAGAGATCTATTTAAATGTAAAAAAGAACATAAAAAACCCCCAACCTGTAAGAAATTTCAGTTACACTATAATAAGGAGAAGCTAGCGAAAATGTTAACAAAGTTTGTTTATTTTTAAAGGACGATAAAATTGTAAAGAAAACAACAAATTAACATCAGTAGTCTGTTAGGAATACCTGCTAGCTTATGGGCACCAGCTAGAACACAGGTGGTTCCATAAAAATATTAGGAAAAAAATTTTCACTGTGAGGGTGACAGAGCCCTGGCACAGGCTGCCCAGGGAGGTTGTGGAGTCTCCTCTGGAGACATTCAAACCCCGCCTGGACGTGTTCCTGTGTGACCTACTGTAGGTGATCCTGCTCTGGCAGCGGGGCTGGACTAGATGATCTTTCAAGGTCCCTTCCAACCCCTGACATTCTGTGATTCTGTGTAGCTCTGCTATATGAATATATTGTGGTCACTGGTTATACAGAAGAGAACTAAACTAACTGTGAATCTTTGCATATCAAGTTTTGGGCTGCTATCAAAATGAGACCACTAGCACAAGAGTCGTCCTGAGGGCAAAACCTTTTCCCTGTTTTGTCTCTCTCCTGTACTGATCCTCTGAGATACGTGTAGAATATCACAATGCTCGTGTGCAGAAGATCATTCCCAAACTGAGATCCTTTCTGATTTGGAATATAACTCAATGCCATAATCTTCTCTAAAAGCAGATTGAAAAAGCAGAAAATTAAGAAGTGTTTAAACAATTTTCAGCATTAAGATTTAGCTGAGGAAAACAGGAGTTGAAAACCTTTAAAGAGTAGTTGAGCTAAGAGCCTCAGAGTCCCACAGCTGAAACTCCTTAGCCCCACCAAAATACAAATAATAAGTCTTTCTTCTTGGTAACTGTTTTCATATTAACATTCTAAAAATGCATGTAAAATTGTAAGAGGCATTCTTAAAAATGAATGGAGCCTTGCTCAGAAAATGTGGATGCAAACACAAAAGTCCGTGTGATGGTAATTTGGGCCCTGTGTTATAGATATAGAATCATAGAATGGCCTAGGCTGGAAGGGACCCTAGAGATCATTTTAATCCAGCCTCCCTGCCGCCAGGGACGCCACCTCTCGACTAGATCAGGCAACACATGGGGACCGAACGGGAATCGAACCGTGACCTTAGCGTTGTTAGCGCCAAACCAGCCCCCTACATAGTTTTTCCTATCTTATTACCAAAACCCAATGCTGTCTTCCTGCCATTTTCCTACTAAATCAATCAAAAATTTTGAAGAAAATGACCAATCAATATCTAACAAGAGAATAGATCCATTTCTGTTACAAATGAGAATAAAGCACCCTGCAAAACAGTGAACACTGAAGCATATAATACCTCATGCAGAATTTGATCAACTCTTCCCTTTCCTTCACTCCCTTTTCTCCACATCTCACTGCAGATCCAAAAAAACCCCAAAAATCTCTCCCTGAATAATTCTAAGAATTTCATATCCACTGCTTCCTAAATGCAGTACTTCCACTGCACATTTTGTGTTTAGAGTAACTTGGAGAATGGAAATACGTTCCTTTCATAACTAGACAGTTCTTTCACAAGTGACAAGTTTTTTTTTCAGATGCAGGGAAAAAAAAAAGTGCGTGTTTCAGAAACCTGAATTCTTTACAAAATAGAGAAAGGATTCGGACATATTTGAAGACTCAAGACAAATCTTAGTCCACTGAGCCAGTACAGGATGCTTCCCAGAATCTTTCCTGATATCATCAAGGGTTCATCACCATAAAAAAACCCAACAATGTTCTCCTGAACAATGCAAACTGACACATTCACAGACTGCTAAAGGAAGGAAGTACAGATCAAGGAAAAGATATTTCCCACACTCAGGAAAAGCAGATAGAGCAGAAGAGGAAGGGCAGCTCTTACAAGGAAATCAAGTCCTAAGGGTCCTTGCAGGAAGCACCCAACTTTGCATTGAAGAGTTAAAAGCAGCCAGAACGCGGCTAACATTACAAGAACTAAGGTGAAGCTCCATTTGAGACACGACGAGATAGAGACAACCATGTTTCCATGGGCCAGTAATTCTTAAGTTCTTAAAGGAAACCAAAGGGAAAAAGGGGGGAAAAAAGAAAAAAAAAAAGAAATCCCCAAGCACCACATCATAGAACAAGCCGGAGAACTGGCACCTCCTGAGACAATGGAAATTGTAAAAATGGGGATTTTAAAAAAAAAAGTAATTGAAAAAATAAGTACCAAAAGGTAAAATAAGAGAAAGGAAAATAAGCAAGTAGGTAAATGAGGATTGATATTGAATAGACCATAGCAGGACAGCTGGGCTGGATTGCTTCAGTGTCTATATGCACATATGGTGTGACACAGGTGAGAGCAGCCTTTGTGGATACTGGTAGGGAGAGCTGCCTTCACCACATCTTCATTTCAATTACCTGAAATATGAACGGACACGTGCTCTGTCCTTCAAAACCAGCAGAATCTAGAGAAGAGCAGCTTGGACTGGTAGTTGTGGTGCATTTCCATGATCTCACACCCTTAGGCTTCAGTCAACTGATACGACTGCATGGACAACAGAAGGTGTTTGGGGCAGACCAATTTCTTCATAAATGTGGACAATTAAATTAAGGATTTTTTAATTATTTTTTAAGGAGGGTAAAGGAAGGATCCCTAAGGAAAAAGAGCACCTCGTCATAGCCAAGGAACATCTTGACCATCTAGCTTAAAGAAAAAGCACATATGTATTGACAAGTCTGGCCACACATGGTTAAGTGAAACCAGAGACAGCTACAGTGAACGTACAGGATTACAAGACTTGCTGCAGTATAATGAAAGATTCTGCTCTTCAGAAAAGGAGTACATTTTAGTTCTCCTCAAAACAAATATTAACTAACACTGAAGAAACCTATGTAAACATAGCTGCCAACTCCAAGCATATGCATTCCTTTGGATTGTTTTACCTGTCATTCTTTTTCTTCTCTTGGTGTCTGAATCACCCTTGTTACTATACATGAAAAAACAAAAGAAGAAAAAAGATACACTTATTTATTTTTAGAAATATTTTATCTGACTTCCATTAAATTCATTGTCTTCTGCTTTTGTGTTCAGTGGAAGTAGGTGTGAATCTAAGAATGATTAGACTTGGAAAAAAACTGCACACTTCCTTGTAGGTTTTGTATTTGTATTGATTCTTTTTCCCTAAGAATTGTATTTACTGAATAACATTTCCAAGTACCTGCTACATACTTCTTTCCACATCTATGAGCCATGCATACCACATAGGACTGAGAAAAACACATTACATTCTTTATTGATTTAAGACAAAATAATTGGTAGGAAGTTCTGAGAAGCATGTCCCTATCTATGCAACATCAGCGATTTCCAAACACAATCCATGTACTCACAACTGTTCAATGCCCTGTCATCCTAAAGCCATATTATTACATAGTAAAAAAAAAAAAAATTAAAAAAAGTATTAGCAGTAATGAAATACTATTGGTTCATATGTATTTGCAAAGCCTGACTTTTAGATTCTTGGACGAATCTCTGGGACTGCTATCTTAACAAAAATTATTAACCAAACAAACAATCTGATCAATAGTTTAATGAAAGACATTAAATACACACCATTCCTCCCATGTCGTTTTTATGTATCTGTGTGTTAAAACAGAAATACAGTAGTAATTAACATAGAATCTAGCTCAGTTTAGAACCACAAAGACAAAAAAGGTACGTGAAACCGTGTTTGGGCCAGTTTAGCAGACCTGCTAAAGATTATGAAAAAGCACTGCAAACTGAAGTTGCCTGCTTCTGGCAAACACACACTTGCTGTTATTTTTACACTTGAAACTCCATCAGACTCACCGATTTAATCTCAAGAGGTACATAGTAACCCATCTGGAAAATAACTTGTGTTTGCTCAGATCCTGGAGAGCCCAGAAGTCCTAAAGAGAAAGAAACAGTTAATGATAGGTATTCAGAGTCCTGTTCCTGTTAGGCAAAAAAACAAAGTAAGCAAATGAATATTAAAAGATTATAAGAGAGAAACATATGATGACCCTTCAAGCAATATTCTCTTACAAAATTCTAATAATATCTTTTCTTCTGTATTTAAATTATTTCTTTTTGTTAGCATAATACATCCATAATAATCAGTTTCCATTATAGCAAATCCTATCTAAACACCTCCAGCATTTCAACCCTATTTTTCTTGGGCTTATTGTTTGACCTGTTTTTTTTTTAGGCTACAAAACTACAGGTTTTACTCTCTTCTTAGTTTTGTATGGATCTAATTTCAAGTTTTATTCTATTTTGTTTCAAAAATTGTGGAATAAGGAAAATATATTGATAATGAAAGGTAAGGTGTGGAGAAAAAGGGAAACTTGAGGCTACAGGGATAGAAGACTGAGAAGAATAGAAACAGTGGGAGAGGAAAAAGGAGAAAGAACCTGGAAAATGCAAACAGAGAGAAACCAGAGCTTGGGGTTACTACTCGCAGTGTTGGACAACAACCGCGAAGTAGGCTTCCCTGGCTGACCACACTGAGCTAAGAGCTGCTTCACATTGCTCGGTTGAGAGAAAGTAGCCAATGCTCACGAATAAAAACAGGAGTTACAAATAACAGATTAGAAAGAAATGGAAATAGATGAACCCAGGTAAACAGTAGATATACAAGAAAAAGCAGGCAAAACTGAAATAAGGGAACTTCCAAACAAGAGCAAAACACAGTTTTGATTGCATCTGTGTTTTTTCAAAGAAATATAATCAAAACCACATTTGTGTCTAAAAATGTGTTACAATTACAGAAGCGACTAAGAGCTGAGGGTCTGGCAGGTGTATAACAGGTGAATGTGAAAGTTAAGCATTTCTTCAAAGACATGCAAGGTTTAGCTGCCTTAGGAGGAATTTCAAAATGTTTCTAGTCAGTACTAAATGTAAGCACTCCTGAAGAGTCGCCATAGAGTTCTGGCATTTTTAGGTCAACTTTGGTTTCCAGCTGAAAGAAAAAAAATCCTAAGTGATCTACAAATGAACATGAAAAGTTTCTTTGTTACTAACAAAGTATTAGTGTGTGAATAAACAGCAGGTGAAAATATTAAAAAAGAAAAACTTTTCACCAGTATAAAATTGTATCTGCTTTAGCACATTAGTTTTGGGACTCAGAACTTGTGGGCTAAATCATTTCATTGTGCATGGGGAAAAAAAAAAGTCAGCTGCCATAAAATGAAGGTCGCAAGTGACCCTCGGTGTAGTAGCAGGGTCACAATGCCACCACAATCTTTAGTTCCTCAGCCTGCACCTTTAAAGGGGAGATGGAGTTGTCATAAATGTCACTCCTGCACAGTCTGGAGCCACACCATACTACGAGGATGGCTTCTGTTCTTCCTATTGCACGCAGGCCACCAAGAAATGGAAAAATCCCCTGTATTCTATGACAAAAATACATTTTCTTACAAACACACCCATCCTCTTTATCACCCTCTCTGCAGAAATTATGCATTCTGTAGCTACAGCTCTTTGTATTTTTTCTGCTTACCACTAGAAAATCTCAACTTTTTAACTCCTAATGGGTTCAGGCTCATAAAAAAAGGTCAGGTTAGACCTCTTATTTAACAGAAGAAGACAAGGGAAAATGGAGAATTTAGTCAAAATCACTTAATTGTCTAGGTGACAACTGAAAAAAACCAAAGACTAACTCCTCATTTTCATTCTTCATTTTCATTCTTTACACAGTCATTCTGCTCCCTAAAACAACCTCAGAAGGCCACCTGCTCTCATTTCGAATTGGATTCAAAGACAAACAGAAATAAGCCAGAAGTTACAGAAAGGCAACAAAGTTTTCCAGGTAAAGTGAACAATATTCTTCACATGGAAAAAGCACTGTATTAAAAAAATAAGTCCTTTTGGCTCTTGCAAAAAGGCTTCCTTTTTTCCTTTCTACATTAGGTACTTACAAACACTCTTTTCAGAATTTTCCCTCTGCATTTTTATCCAATTATTACTTGCCTAGCATCTCATTCCACTTGAAATATTTCAGACATGCTTCCACTTCTAAAGACTGCACTACAGTTACAGGTAAGTTTATATCTTTCATTTTAATACTTTCATCTCTTTTATGGTTGTACTTGGTCTTGAAGAATAAGTTTAGGCTGAGTTAGCAGCCACAAAGGATGAGCCAGCAGGCTGAGCAGGACACAATGTCAAAATGTATTGCTATGCTTTAAGCTACATTTAGAATTGATCTTGTGCCCAAGGAAGGGAAGAAGCCACTGTGGGCTGAGATTCTGCCAAGAGTTTAAATTGGGATGGGATCTCACTTGTAATTAGATACCTGATGGGCCTGAGATGCTTCAGTCTCCTGGTAAGTCCATGTTAGGATTAGTTTGGTCGACCTGAGGTTGAAATTTTCCCTATAAGCCCTGTACATTTTCATCTTATGAAATTCTATCAGAAGGTATTCTTACGCAAAACAAACAAACAAAAAAGGAGGGGAAGGAAGGGGAATTTCTAGCACACCCATCTTAAATGTGAAGAAAATCACATTCCCACCTGTATATGAATATTTATGACTACTCATATTGGATCTGTGTCAGAAGCTCGAAATTTTACTTCAGCACTATTCATTAATGTATCTTTAGTTAGCACTCTTCATTAATGTATCCTTCATTACTAGACACAGGCTTAACATGGGGTGGTAGCATGACACAGATACATTAGTCTCCCTGTCCCTTAATAACACTACATTGACACATTTCCCAAGAAAATCACGGCTTGAGACAGTCTCTATTATGCCAGGGTTCTTGACATAATCCAAGCTGATTTACTCATTTCACATTAATTCATACCTCAGGAATATGGAGCTCCTTTAACTGGTCTTCAGTAGTTTCACTGAGCTGTCGAAATGTCATTGTAAAATCAGCCTTTGTATCTTCCATAAGCTAGTGAAAAAAGACATTTCTATCAGAATTTAAGCATGGGATTAGTCCAGACATTTGCCAAAAAAATAGCAAAACAAACTTACTCTTAGGAGGAAAGCAATCAAATAGTTATCATCCTCATCCTCCCCAAGAAGACCCAATTTTGTTTTAAATAATTCTGTGAAACTGAAAATAATAACAAAGTAAGGAAATTGTCAGATAACATCATTTATAGTGGAGTGACTACAATGTTTGAGTTCTGGAACTGCATACCGGCTGTAATAGTGCTCACCGTAGCCCTCCAAAATCTGGGATGCTCTGCAAAAAAAAACAAAAGAAATGTTGGATTCTGTGGAACTACAGTACTACTGTGGGTACAATCCTTTCCTCTTTAGTACCACAACACGGTGTTGAAGCAGCATCCTGCTGTACACTAAACAATGAAAACATGTTTGCTACCTCACAAACATTGAATCAGCTAGGACCTGTAGTGGGAAAAAGACTGAGTAGAAACTTTTTAACAGGCTTCAAATACATAAACAGTTGCTGCAAAGAGGAAAAACACAATGTTCTTCCTTTTCATACTGAATAAGAAGTCATGAGTTTAAAACACATGAAAGAAAATTCATATTAGGAATCTTTACTACAGTATATTAAAATGCTACCTTACTACTTCAGGAGAAGGTACAGTCTTTGTAAGTTAAAGGACAAGCTGGACAAAATTAGAATAGAAAACTACAGGCAAAGTTCCTAACTTAAGGAAAGGGGAATGGACCACACAACATCTGGGACCACTTTCCAATCATATTTTGCTATTATTTATGACCAGTGAAAACCTTTTCTCCCACCCCTCCAACTTAGTCTGGCCAATAATTAATTCAGAATCGATTTCCACTTAGAAAAAAAGACTTTAAAAGCTAATCCCTTTCTTTCCTACACGTTAGAGGGTCTCCCATCACACTAGTTCTGTTAAGACATTTTAAGGATTACTTACAGCTGCTTTTGCCTGGGATCCAATAAAGGTTTTAGAGCCTGCAACAGCTTGCTCAGATTAAAGAGCCCCACATTTGCCTGGTTTCCTATTTTATACCTCCCTTCATCATCAGATGTGTTTGGAACAAAATCTGTTTCAAACAAACAAATGTTACTTTTCCAAAACAGATCAATTGCAATCAATCAATATTGATTTGGTTTTATACTCATAGAGCAAACTAAGAAAAGCCCTAAAGATACTAAATATTTCAAATCAGATCACAAGGAGAGTTATTTACAGTGAATTAACTCAAGGTCTATTATTTGCAAATACATCCTTCACAGACAGGTTCCCATATGTCACAAGTGACATTCTCCTACCTGAAGATACAAAATAAATTCAGATGTTTAAACAGAAAAAGACCATTTTTACACTAAAAGCAACATCTTATTCAATGTTCTTACCACATATAGTGCTACTGTTTAGCACACAGACTAATCAAACAACTGTACATCCAGTATTTTCTGAGAAGTAACAGCAAATTAGGCTGGGGGTGGGCAAGGGGCAGCTGACACCAGCTGACCTGCTCAGCAATAAAACCTGTGGTTTTCAACACAATAGAAACAATATGACATTAATTTTCATCTGATTTCCTTAATTTGAAGCTGCAGTCTCATGAAAACAGATTACAAAATAACCACTGCTGGTTCTGAGGCTTACTGAGAGGCAACCTCTAAACAACGATCTAATAATATGCATTTATGTACATACTGGACCTATATCTGTCAATCCCAGATTGACAGAGTTCATGCATTTAAAGACAGATTACCATGACTGGGTAGGTTTGATTTGTTGTCTTCCAATATGTAATTACTTGCTGTGACTATAAAGCTAGAGCACAATGCGTGCAAAGTTACTATATCCCACTTTTGCTCTGGGGTACTTACAGCAATACACAATTTTTAGTTTTCTAAGTTTCTGTTGTAGCGTCTATTCAATTGATGAAGTTCCACTGGAAATATTCTCATGGAAATTAGTTTAATAAAAATAATATTTCATTAACAAGTTTTTTAACACTTGAAATACAACCTGTATAGTGCATCATAAAATCAGCCCCTGATACTTTTTCCCCCAAAAAACCCTCTTCAAACAATACACATGCTTGGGATTTTTCTGCAAATAATGTTAGGAGTTTTCATGCACACAAAAACTACATAAATTAATATAAAGAATAAATATTAAGTATAAGAATATATTTTAAAACAGGCGCTACACTCACTTGGGTCATAGGAGTCCATAAATCCAAATGGACCGTAATCTATTGTTATGGATAATAAACTGAAATTATCTGTATTGCACACACCTACAATTAAACAAGGAGAAACAAAGGTTAAAATTCCACCTGAACCCTGTCGTCCCCAGAAAATTTGCTGCGAAATAGATCCACTGAATCTAGAGAACTGTGGAGCAGTTACCTTTCAGAAATCAGACTCTGGATAATAAACTTGTCTCTCACACTCTTGACCTGGCACACATTTTAAGTATGAAACTGAAAACCTGTTTGCTACACTATCTTGCAGCTGCCTTGTACGTCTAGGTGGCACTGCTTCCTTTCCTCTTTAGTACTACAACACGGTGTTGAAGCAGCATCTTGCAAATTGTTCAGCAGCTGCTTCCTTGAAAGCTGACTGGGTGCTGTGTTAGCAAAACAAGCTGTTTTATTTTTCACAATATAAAGCTAAAACAAAGGTGGACAGCACCGTATCTTACACACTGTAAACCCACAAGCTTTGATGCAGATGCACCAAATTCAGACCAATTCATTTTATATATGACATCAATACCGGGTCTTTGTACCTCAGACTATCACATCAATTCTAAGAGCTCTCACTCTCCTATTCTTGCTTCTGTCAGATACAGTCATGCTTTGAAAGATCAGAAAGTGCTCCTAACTCATTACCAAAAAAACTTGTACATTAACACATAAGAGGCGAAGACATCAGAAGAACTGAAGAGGAAAGTGAAAAATAAAAGCCATCTTTAAGTATATGACTATAGTCACTCCTGCAAAGCCATCTGCTGCAGCTTACCGTGTGCAAACCCCACAGACATCCACAATGCAATCAAATTTGCAGTCTCTGCTGTGACTGTAGAGAAAAACTCCTAAAATCAAATGCATATTTTACTTCAAGTCCTTTGAATCAAAAATATGGAATATAATGAATAAAAAACATTTGATTCACTTTAGAAATATATCACACGTTCTATTTGAAATGTATTTATCTGTCACGACTTTTCATTCACATTATAAATAAAACTGCACAATAACCTTATCCAGCAAAGACTATAGTTAAATTTTAAGTACATACAGACACCCTAAAAGAGCTTAAAAAGTCAAAGAAGAAACAAACACACCACATACACTAGTGTATACACTATATATACTACATTTAAACTAGAAAAAGCATAATTCATCACTTCATGACCTTAGAATCTGAGCAGTAAGAGAACAAAAAAACTCAGAAAATAGAAGCTTCCCAGTAAACTTTTCCATAATGAAAAGTGATGAAGAATGTTCACATTTGACTTCACGAAAAAAAAATTCAAACCCCAAGTTATTACTGAAGAGAATTAGAAAACTTTGACTAATAAAACCTGAAAGTTTACTTCACATTTTAAAATTTGAGACTTTGAAAAGCTTGGTATAATTCTTTTTCACATGCTTGTGGAAGAAAAAAAACAACTTTTAAAAAAGACTTACCAGATATCTATCTGAATCATTCATGGCTACTGATGGAAAATGCTCCTGGATGATAAAGTCGAGCAATTTTCTGCAACAGGAAAGACACAATTCTTTAAACAAAACTGGTCCTTTTAAAACTGATCATTCAAAATTCTTGTTTTTAAATGGCTAAATGCTGATTTGCAGCTTACTACAAACAGTTATTAAAAAACTCAATCTATTTATTCCAATGAGTTTTGGATTAAGCCTCTCTAAACGCCAAGATACAAAACCTAAGGTTCCAGTCATAAATATGACTGGAGACTGCCACATAGAGTTAAAATTATTCCCACATTTTAAACTTTCAGAGTACACCAGGATCTTCGTTTGCACGCAGTAATACCTTTTTTCTTTAGAGAAAAAAAAAGATTGCAAATCCCCAAAAATATATGAATACAAAGAATAATTCTACATCAGAATTCTCAGAAAAAAATCTTATGGCTGAACTCTTATGAAGGAGTGTTTCTTGCCATAGTAACAAAACAGTTACTAAGTAGTAACGAAACAGTTCCCAAAACAATGTTGCATAGTCTTACAAGAGCGGCTTGGGAAATTGGGATATGTCTGTTAGAAATGGCAGTACCTGTCAGAGGCGTATCTTTGCACATCTAAAGCTTTAAAGTAGAGCGGCTGCCATTTAGCACATTTAGGGACTCCCTGTAGGACCCTCCTGTGGTCAGAAGCAGCCAGGGCCACTGGCACAGGAACCTGTCATCACCATCTACACGTCGGGTAGGCAGCCTGAGCAGGAGTTGGACCTGGGTACGGTTGAACTTGATGATCTTAAAGGTCTTTTCTAGCCAAAACGATTCTACAGTTCTATGATCCTATCTAGATTTTACCTTCTAATCAGGTTGTTGGAGCAAATCACTGAACTCTCCTCAAACTCTCATGATTTTATTAGAGAATGTAGCAACCCAACCTTTAGAAGGGCGCCCAGCCTACTGTCTCTGCATTTTAGCTGGTTGCTCCAGCACATCCTTTTTCAGGAGGACCTTCTCTGAGGAGGAAGCACAGAAAGTCACACTAGCCTTGGCCTGCTCCTGGTCACTCTTTCTGAAGCTCCGTCCAAAACAGGCAGGAAGGAGTCATCTATTTTTCATGAGCACAAGCGATCTTTGCTCCTCAAGCCACGCTACGTAAATCCAACAGGTCACAAATACTTTAACCAAAAAAAAAGAAAAAAAAGAAAGAAAAGCAGCCTTAAAATTAGTTCCCTAACTCAGTCTATCTGTTTTACACCTAGAATCTGTTATGAGATTTAAAAAAAAAAAAAAAAAAAAAGACAGCATAGACTGATGTGGGAAATTAAACTGAGTATCAGATACAACATACAACTGCTGCTACGGGAAGTTGTTTGCTTTTAAGCACCCCAGAACCATTTCTATTCCTCCTGAGGAGAAATGACCAACAAAATATTTACAGTAGGCCTAAATATTTGTCATGCTAATTGCCTGACACACACATTAATACTTCTAAGAGGCTTAAAACCATGCGATAATTCCTTACCTAGTATACTTCTCTGGATCTGCATGTTTCTGGAGAGCATGCTTTATATACAACATACTTATGCTAGTGATTTATTTCATATTCCTGTTAATTTAGCTTCACAGACAACTATGAGAAATGTACGCACTTATACTTTAAATTTACAGATCTTTCCAAAACAAGAAAGCCCTCCCTAGCGTTTAGCTACCACAACTATTTCAACTATAAAACCTTTCTCGTTTTTTAAGATTCAGGCCTTCAAAAACATCTAGGGGGTTTTACCCTTATGAGGTAAGATCTTTTCTACGCTGTATAAAAATAGGTTACCTTTCTAAACCATGCAATCTTCCTTTCTAAATAATTTGTCTAAATTCCAATTGTATATAGGCATCCTAATACATATTTGATTGTTAAGAAAACAAATATAGTTACTATGAAGATTAAATACAAACTTTTCTAAGTCCAGTTCTCCCGAATGAGCCAAGATTTCTAAGGATCCTATACGAAACCAGGATTTGGCCAGACGTAGCACCACTGCACCTTAAATAAAGACAGGTGTTTAAATGTAAACAGTGTCAGCAAAACAAAACAGTTTCATATTGAGAGCCATCATGTGTTGTTTCTATAGACACAGAATTAACATATGCATAGTTAAACTGTTATTTTTTAAGTACTCTCAATGCATAACTGATGAATATGTATAATATTCCCCTACTATACATGCATTTTTATGAAAAAGTTTAATTTGCTATACCAGCAAAGGCAGGCAAAATTCCAGTACCTCATTAATACTAGAATTACTCTATAGGTGGTAGCAACACCAAAAGAATCCACATAAATAGATTTTTTTCCCATGCTGTGCCATCCTACTCTTTTTCCAAGTGGATGTAGATGAGGGAGCAATGAGACACAGCAGTGTTCCATCATCCTGGTATTGCTATCAGAACAATGGAATATTGCACTGATTTTCACTATAATTTCTGTAACAGTAAGAGAAAATAAAAATTATACCCCTATAACATATGTCACTATCACAGCAGACCTGTTCATAGGGCACCATTTAAGACATGTTTCAGACATTACTCCAAGGGGGGTTTATAACTTAATAAATTAAATGGAGTCTATTCAGCACTTTTTTTTTTAAACACATACATGACATTAAAATTCATTTTTGCAATGAAGAATTAAGTTACAGTGTTGCAACATATTATTTTGAAATGTGTTCATTACCTCTTTCTTTCTTAACATTTCCATTGTAAAACTGGTCTCTCCATACATCATCATCACTTACAACTAAGCTGTAACGAATAAGAAATTAACACTAAAAAGTTGTCTTAGGAAAAATAATTTACAATGCTACTGTATATTGTCATACTTTATATAACTTTATTTCTTTCATAAGAAAGCTCTTTCTGCTGGCACAGCTTTCTATTTACAAACGACACAGGCAAACAGTAAGCCGAGGCTTAGCAAGCTTCATTAGCAAGATGCATTTATTTTGTATTTCTACAAAGTTGTCCAACTTCCACTGCTTACACTGTTCTTGGGAAGGGAGTGGCATTCAAAACAAGTACTGCACTCATTTGGAATCACAGTGACTGCCAAGTCTGATGATAACATTAAATAAGTTACAATTTCCCTGAAGACAACAGCAAAATTAGAGAAATCAGAAACCATGTTTTTGCAACAAACGGAGCTTCCCTTTCACTTGAGCTAAAACTGTGTCTCGGGACCCTTAGCTGTCAGGAACTCTTCAAATAGTAACAACACTGAAAAAAGCACCATAATTTTGATGAAATGTTATCCCTTTCTTCTCCACTGCTACTTGTACTTGCATTTTTAAAAACAATCTCTTCATTTGCCTTAAAATTCTGCACACCTTACAAATTTTCATGTTTATCTGAATACTGAGATTTGTGAGTGCTTGGAATAACTTTGCTTGCTCTAAAATATTTCACAACTTACGTTCATTTTACAAAATAAAATATGTAATTTCACTGTATTTTCTGTCATATCAAGAAAAATAAAATGGAATCAACCATCACAAACTATGCTAGGGCACCGTATTCCCCTAATGTTAACGTGTAGGAAGTTCTTCTCTAAACCAACAAGGATTATACTGACAATCCAACAGAAGTAATGCTTGATGCTATCTTCTGGAAGAGGTGTCATCTCCTCAATGGGTAGAGAAGATTTCTTTTGTTCAGGAGTCTAGCAGCAGGAAAATTTAGCTCATTTTGTATAGTCCATCTTTATCATTGCTTGCTGGTAACTGGAAAACATTATTCAGGAGAGACATGGACCTGTTGGAGTGGGTCCAGAGAAGGGCCACAAAGATGATCAGAGGGATGGATCACCTCTCCGAAAGAAGTGAGGTTCTTTAAACTTGCGAAGGTTCCAGGGAGACCTTATTGTGGCCTTTTAATACTTACAGGTGGCCTACAGTAAAGATGGGGACAATCTTTTCTGCAGGGCCTGTTATGACAAGACAAGGGGTAATGGTTTTAGTCTAAAAGCGGGCAGATTTAAACTAGATACAACAAAGAAATTTTTTTCAACAAGTGTGGTGAAACACTGGAACAGGTTGCCCGCAGAGATCCTAGAAGTTCCATCCCTGGAAACATTCAAGGTCAGACTGGACGGGGCTCTGATCTAGTTGGAGATGTTCCTGCTCACTGCAGGGGGGTGGGCTAGATGACTTTTAAAGGTCTCCTCCAGCCCAACACAGTCTATGATTCTATGATTCAAAATAGTTGGGTGGCATGCTACTGGAAATTTAATGCAGCTACTTACAGCTATCCAATTGGGGGTTGAAGATTGCGCAGACAACAGAACTAAACTTTCCTTGGAGGTACACAGAAAAGGACAAGAAGCAAACCTAATACTCCATTCATAAATATGACTGAAGACAGTCACAGAGCTAAAACAACTCCCAGGTGTTAGATTTTGAGAGTACGCTAGATTCTCATTTTACACACTTTAATGTAAAGATTTTAGAAAGAATCTAGTTGGACCAAAAATATGGGGGGTAAGCATATAAAAATGTACAAAATGTCATGAAAACAAATTATTTTTCTGAAATTTTACACAGTAGAGCTGCTTGCAACAGTAGCTGTGGTTTTGAAACTAAATTGCTCCTGCTCCATTTGGTATTTTGAAGGTATTTAGTAGCTATCCAAACTGAATGTTCTCTTAACTGCAAAAAGCAGAAAGTGAATTGTCCTAGAAGGAGGGAAAATGCATTTAGAAATCAATCTGCTCCTGTTACTGGAGCTGTACTGACACATGCAACACTAAGAAGCTTTTTCAAAAAAAAAAACTTTTTTGGAAACAATCACATATGATTGGTATGTCTGTAGGATTAAGTACAAAAAGCACTGGCATCAATGAGATGGAAGACAATCTTAATCCTTCAAGGAAGACAAAAATTTTCAAAAACAGGGAATAAACCCCAGACACTAACAAACTATTGTGTGTATCGGAGCACTAGGAGACAGAAGTCTGAATAATAACAGCACTAAATTTTACTGTTCTGAAGAGACCTCTGCCAGAAGGGTTGTTTCTTTTTGTCCATGTAACTCCAAGCAAGCTCTCTGCAAAATACAAGCACATCTCCTACTGCTGACAAAAAAAAATGAACACACACAACATGGGGCCATCAACATTTGGTTAGTTACTAATACAAGGCCATGGACACGCAACACTTGAGAGCTGGCCAGATAGCTGGGCAGTCACAAAGATACCTGCATTCCCATTACCAAAATAGTTTTCAAGTGGTGCCTGTAATTGCTAAGTGCCATTGCTGGCAGGAAGGCAGCAGGAGGCCAGACATACACTCAACCACAGGAAACAGAGCACAGAAATTACTCTTACACCAGAGAAGCTGGAACAGCACCCACAGAAGGATGGATGGATGGATTATATCCCTCCTACCTTTGGCTCTGGCTCAAGGGCTCAACTTTACACTCCCAAGTGCTCTGCTTGTTTGTTGGGTTTTTTTTTGCACGAACATCAAGCTCCATGCAAGTAAGGGTCACTCTGAAAGTGCCTATTGACTCACTTTTGACCAACTGCACAATACTGCTCACTGGCAGTCCCAGATTTGACCAAAATGGTACCATATGACGAGGGGTTCTTTATCTGGTGATACAGTCATACACTGCAGCACCTCATTGGGAACACAAAATTAATAGAGCAAACCAACCTGCTGAGCGTTCCGGGATAAGCCGTAAGGCTTTTTCCCCACATGTCTGCCAAGACCTCTGTGAGTGCATCCCACCAGCCTCAGAATAACAGCTCCCCATCGGAAAGAATATGGATATCAGCTGGGTTTTTTTCCAAATGAAGTCTTGCTAACAGTCTGGAGAGGCTGCACTGCAGTTAAGAGCGTCGGGCATTCAACCAAGCTGCCAGCAGAGAACTAAAGCACACTGTGTACTCAGTAGAATTTGCGTGTAGTTTAGGAGTAATTTCATATTGGTTTGCACTGAACAATTTGTTGAGACGACCGCACTGAAAGGCTATAACCTCACCAGATGCTTTCCTGCTGGTACTCAGACAGATTTAAAGTTCTGCATTAACAGCCAGCAGCAAAGGGTCTCAAAGTGAAGCCAGTGAATAAACCATCAAAAACGTCATTTACAAACACTGCACTTCAACACAGGAAATGTGTTAGAATTAATGCTAGAGAGATTTGCAGACACTTTGCAAATACAGACACCTAGACATGTGACAGCTGAGTACAGGCCTTTTCTGCACAACATTTACTTTCTGTAAAGCCTGAAATGCCAGAGTACTGACATGGGACTTCTTAGAACACAAAAATGAACTTGACATTTTAAACACAATCATCTGAAAAATTCACTTCATTCTGAGAAAATCATACAAATGAGAGAATGTATGTCTTACTTGGTTTAAATAGAATTAATTTTAAATTTTAAATTTTTATTTTTTTTACAAAATCTTCCTCTCAGCTCGAGGGGTGTTTGCACAAGCAAGAGATTGAGAGCAATTATCTACATGCAATCACAGAATCATAGAATGGCATAGGCTGGAAGGGACCTCAGAGATCATCTAGTCCAACCTCCCTGTCATGGGCAGGGACGCCACCTCTCGACTAGACCAGGCAACACATGGGGACCGAGCGGGAATCGAACCCGCGACCTCGGTGTTTTCATTTTTGTCAGCACCACACTCAAACCACTGAGCTAACCGGCCCCCCCAATATAACATCTGTTCATCTGACTGACAATTTTTCCCCATCAATCTTAAAAACTATAAGGTGACTGTGGCAATACAGAAACAGCCCCTTTCAACACTTTCCTACTTAGCCTGATTCTAGAAAAATTCATCCAAATGCATAACTTTAGTGTAATAAAAGACTCACTATTAACCATGTAAAATGTATTAAGACTCACTGACTATTTGCATACACTAAAGGTAATTTCTTTTTTTTTTTTTCTTCACAGGGCTGGAATCTAACCCTGCTATTTTTGCAAGTCTTTTGGTGAGCAACAATGGAGAAAATGATTTTTTTATTTTTTTAAAGGAAAGAAGTCTTGATTGCAGTATCATAAAAGCTGGAGAGGGGAGTTAGCACCAGACCACTCAACCAAACTTCCGTTTTTTACTTTCTTTACAAAATGAACCAATTTCAAATTAAGGTAGATCAGTTAAGACCGTCTTAAAAGTAAGTAATAGCTGTTCACCGCAAGACACAGACAGTACAAAACATCATATTCCAAAAGAGTAATACTTTAAAGCACTTAAAAGACAAGTGAATGAATTAATTGCTGGAGCTTATTTGTCCTGGAAAACTTTATCCAAAAATATAGAAAACTGGAGATACATATTTTGTTCTGATTGTATACCTATGAAAACAAAAACCTCTCCTGGAACCTAACTGTCCTGCTTTATCGATGCCCAGTGAAACTCGTTGACAAAATTACCTGTAAATTAGGATGTTGTGAAAAAAGAAAAAAAAAAAATACCTAGCAGCTCTGCTTGTAGGTATTCCAAGATAGTGCATGGCCTCACTACACAAAAATTCTCGCACAGAAGAGCGAAGCACAGCTCTTCCATCACCACTCCTATGGAGAACAGAGCAATAAGGAATAGGTCATAAAATCAAAGCAAATTTAAAAAAGGAAACAACCATTTCTGGTGTACATGGATTAACTGTAACTTACCTGGAGTACGGGGTCTTTCCTGACCCTTTTAACTGCAGTTCCCACTTCTCACCATGCCTGCAAAAATACCATTAGCATTTCTAATGGCACACTTGGACTTATGCATGAATCAGCTAAATAGAACACAGAGTTGAATCAGTCACTTAAAAAAATGTCACACCTGTTTGTATATACTCCAATCAAATGGGCTCTTCCATCACCCAGCTGACCTGCCCAGCTACCAAACTGACAAAAACAAAAATCAAGTTATTTTCTTCTACCATTTATAGCAGTTATACTTGAAACAGTGCAAATTACATGTAGGTTCTCTGGGATTTACACAATATAATGACACATTTGCTCAGGTAGTTATTAAGATATTCATCCCTAAAGCTGTATTTCCACACTCACACCAATAATGAATCAGAAAACCACAGAAAAAGAACAATGCTAGTAACCCCCCTATTTTTTCTCTACCTTCCGGCTACAAAGTACAGCCACAGCCCTGGCTCTTTTGTATAATAAGCCTTTAAACTGACACAGCTCACAATTTATACATTTTTATTTGGAAATTACAAATCAAATTTCTACCATTCTTCTTCATTAATAATCTTACTCATTTCAATGACACTTAACTCTCAGTAATCATGGTATCGCAGTGAGCCTCTGCCCTTCTTCACCCCTCTCAGCTGCTAATGCCTATCATGAATCAGAACTTGTCAGGCTGCAGGGCTGCTAAGCAGACTCCATAGCTAATGGAAGTGCAAAACATCATTTGCTTCTGGCATAAACAGAAGCAGAAAAGGCAGACATGGTATTGTGAAAGATTATTATAGCTCTCTTCTTCTGAAGAACAAATCTGCAATCAAACTGTTCCTAGGTGTTCATACACCTACCAGCATACACTCATATACTTACAGGTGTTGCTAAGGTATAATTTACAAAAAAAGACCAATATAATTCCACGTGGAAGGATGAGTGCATTAGTTACCTGATGGCCCCCATACCTATGGGCCAATGGAACAGACCCAAGTATCACCTTCCCACCGCTGATGAACTGAAGAAAATCAGATGTTTCTTTGACAGATATATCAAGATCTAAAATATTTTCAAGAACTTCCTGGAGAAAAAAAATAATACAGGTGGTACTTGAATATAATAAAATTTTCAGTGGAAATCAAAGTGTTTTCAAAAGATTTTGTTATTAGAAGGCATCATACAATGTGTTTTAACTGTTCTACTCATTTAAAACATACATTGGTAGGATGCTTTCACAATAAACAGCACATGAATATTAAAATATCTTTTAATACATGCATTAGCAATCTCTAATAATTAGAGAGGAACAAAAAAAATAGCCAACCTTTGAAACAGCTCCAAGACGAACTCTAGATTTAAATGGTGTAGGATAGGCAATTGAAAAAATGCAGTTTCTCACATTACGAACATAATTTTCCTGAATTGTATCAACTGGAAAATGATCTGCAAACATGAAACAGACAAAAAATGCTTTAAAAAAACCCCAAACAATTAATCATATCATTCTTAATACCTTTCCTCTTGCATCCAAATACCTCAGAAATAATTAAAACCCAACTCTTTACCACAACTTATATTAATTCTGCATGAAAAGAAAGCCCCCCAAAATACAGGATTTCCTTCTGTTTGGGATTTTTTAAAAGAGGGACTGAATTTTACACTTAAACAAACTGGTAGTGCACACTAATTTTAAGACTTAAAACACATTTAAGCATAGATTAAATTAACTGTGATTAGAACAGTCTCAGGCAGTTTATATCACACTCAATTATATGCAACCCTAAAAGATATTTGCATGAGACAGGAAAGTTCAGCCATCCCCACAGCTGAACGATGCAGTGCAACAGATTAAACCACTGGGAGACCAGTAACTGTGGTATAAAGTCCATATGCAGCAATGATTAGCAAGTAACCTAAGAAACCAGTCTGAAGTCTGCCCCCAGTAATGCAAACAGGGAACGAACGGATCAGAAGCAGCAGCTCTTGCTGTAGCATAACGTATGTACACAGAAGTTGTGCCTCGTTCTTCCTTCAAACCTGCTCCATGCCTTGATCCATAGTAACAGGGCAAATACTGTTTTAAAAGACTGGGCTGATACTGTGTTTTAACATCTTCGTGGATTTTTGCTTGCATCAGTTCTTACGTCTCCATGTCAATTATAAAACCCTAGTGCCAAGTAATCACTGTTTTGTAAAAACTGTAAGCTAGTTAGCATCTCTGGAGTCTTAGCCAGGCGTCCTTCTCAATCCCTCCAATGACAAATCCTGTTACAGCCAGCTGCCTCTGCATCTATTTCTTAATGCTCGCAAAAAATTGCATCGCCCAAAGGAATCATTTCTGTAATATGACCACATAAATTATCTTAATTATTAAGGCGACTTCTGTATGCCCGAGAGCTATGCCGCTTCATGTACTTCAAATCAGGTGTTACGCTATCGATTTTGCATTAAAAGGACCGAGCGTTTGACTTTGTATATAACGTCTTCACTTAGTTACTGCTTCAGCAGCTGCACAACCCGCAGCGCAAAGGCACCGGGCAGGGTGTT